TTTTTTTTTTTTTCTTTTTTTTTTTTCTTCCTTTTTCTCCTATGCAGTATCTAAAAATCGAAATATTGTGGTGCTCACCCATTAGCGAGTTTCTCCAAGGTGATGAATCAGTCTTAATAGGTCTCACAGGTGTGGATAAGAAATGTGGGCATAAAATACACTGGCTACATAACATCGGGAAAAACAGTGATGATGAACAGTCAGAAAACAAGAAAAAACCCACAAAAGTAACATACTCTTGGAGTGAAAGCTTACCTACAGCTAAGACCATGCTGTAGGGAAGCTCAGTGTGGCACAGGCAAAGCAGCTTATAGAATTGCAACCAGTTTCCAAAGTGCTGGTTACAACACAAATGTACCAGGTCTTGCTCCTCATGCACAGAGCCATGCTCTGGGCATATTCTATTTCTCCAGGTATGCACTTCTTGCATTGTGGAATTACTCATCCCTGGCCTAGCAGGCAGCAGATGAGGAACAGCCTCCCTCTGTTTCCCATCCTGGCCATGTTCCCTTTTTATCCCTCTATACCAAAACTGGATGGTACTGAAAAGACGGCGCACCTCTTCCCAGACTTCAAGAGGCTGGGCGACAAATGTCACCATGGAAAAAACAGGGTGAACCATAGGAGAGTGCTGTACAGATGATGGTCTGTGGGAGAAATATCAGACAGGGCAGAATCCCTGAACGTGGTTGTGTAGGCAACCTTTAAGAGAACCGGATTAGCAATGCTCTATTTATTTAGCTGCTTACAAATGGCTGTCATTACTGTAATCAGGTATATGAATTTCACTGGTTCACCCGTCATAAATGCTTGGTGGAATGGAAATACCCGGTGTCTGGTATTAAAATGTGGAGCCGTCATCAGAGGTGATTAAGGACAGTCAAATCACTCCAGAAACTGGTACCTGAGGTCAGGAGCCGACCCCAGCTTTTTGAAGGCTGAGGTAACACCTTCTCACTCCCACAAGCCTTTTATCTGGGATCTCAAAACACTTTACAGTCATCAGTGAATTAACAGTCAAATTTCTTCTTGCGAGACAAAAATTGCAGCAATACTCGTGCTAATTAAGTGTACGTGCCTAGTCTAGAAGAAGAACCTGGACTTGCCGGCCCTGATCAGCGCACTTTACAAGCGCACCCCGACGCGTTCGTCCTCCGCATCACCGCCGTGCGGCAGCGCCCTCCGCTGGGCGGCGGGCGGAACTGCAGCCTGAGGCGGAGCTGCGCGGCGCTGCTGCCGGCCTGCATCCCGGGCCGCGCTTCCCGCTCCTCTGCTCTTCTCAGTCCCCATCACCCCAATCCTGCACCGCAGTACCGCTGCTCCAGCAGGAGCCTGCGGCTGTTTTCATGTTGCTGCCCGCCTCTCTCATAGCTCCAACAGCCCCAGCTCCTCTGCCCCATCCCACGCAGCCTGAGTTTTTAAAATACGTTGCAGGAAGATGGGTTTTTTTTCAAGCATTGTTGTACTTTATATGATTTATGGGATGCTTCATAAATACTTTACATGTTAGCATTGTGTTCTTTCCTCCAAACTGCTCCAAACTGCTAAAATACACCTCCGATTTTTTTTATAGAAAGTTTGTTAGTCTCAGTTATTATTTCTGCTTGAAGCTGTCCATGAGAGAGGTTTACAGAACAGCCACAGTGTTCCATTTTAACTCCTTCTGGAATTATGGCCGTTTTGGTGCCGTGAGCCAGGGTGATCCAGGAGGCACGTCAGGCATGGCATGCTCACTGCTGCTCTGGGGCTGAAATGGGAATGGCCTCATTCGATGTAAATCAGAAAACGCAGCAATTTGCCTTATGAAGCAAAATGCTTTCCTTGGCTGCCTGACCAAAT